CCGCCGCCAACAATGGGCGCCTGCAGCGCGCATGCGCTGGTGGTGCAGGGCGGGGCCTAGGTCACGTGGCCACCCCACCCCACCGTGGGCGCGGATCCCGCGCGTTCGCTTGTGTGGGATCGGCCGGGCGGGTGGTGCGTGGAGTCCGGAGCTGGGACTCCTCCATCCCCTGTGTGCGCGCCTTGGGACCTGGGCGCAGGTCCCCCTGTGCGAGCCCCCCAGTCGTGTCCCTGCATCCCCCATCGGAGGATTCCCCTTTGCGCGTCCTGGACTCCTCTGTCCGAACACCGATAGCGATCGCGCGGGGCTTCCCAGGTCAGCCTTTTACCCTACCAGACCCACAGTCCTTGGTGCCGGGGACCCAGCCACCACCGCGGGCCGTCGGGGACCAAGCGACTCTTCCAAGGGCAGAGTGACGACCCCTCCTACCCCTACCCCGCCCCCCGCTTCCAAGTAGGGGTGAGGCAGGTGGGAGAGGGAGCCTGACTGCAAAGTCCAGCAAGTCCCAAGGCCCTTCGCGATCGCGCCCGCTCCCCCAGCCCCTTCCCCCTGAGCTGGGGACTCCATCTTAGGATCCTTGGGCCTGGGAGTTCCGCTTTCTGAACCCCTTCACCATCCCACCGGGTCTTCGGGGCCAGCCCCTGTCCCCACTATGATCGTACTACCCTCCTTGTGCTAGAGACTCTCTCCCCTCGTGGTCATGCCCATGCCCCCACCCTTCCCTGGCCTTCCTAAACCAGGGAACCCTCTGTGAGCATGTTGGGCCTGGGGTCCGTCCACCGGAGAGTGTGTAGTGACCTTACTGGACTTTGAGCTCAAGCCCCCAAGCAGGGCGTGGTGGCGCGCGCCTGTCAACCTAACACTTAGGAGGCTCGCCACAACTTTGAGACCGGCCTAGGCTACATAGTGAGTTTAAGCCTGTCTGAATTACAGAGCAAAACCTTGTCTCAAAAAATAAAAATAAAGTGAGGCCTCCTGCCCCCCAGCCCCTACTTGGAAGCTGGTGGGCACCATGTACCTAGAACCCACTTCACCTTCCAGTGACTCCTCTTGGGGTGGGCAGGTTCCCACCCTCTGCTGAGAGGGTGGGAAGGGATCCGTGTTCCACTCCAAAGCCACCTCCAAAGCCACCTGCATCGGTAGCTCTGCCTTCAGCTGCCCCACAGGCCCTTTGCAGGTGGGGAGCAGAGTGTACCCTACTCTGGTTTGCTGAGCAACCTCAGGCCAACTGAGGTTAGCCGGCAGGACGGGGTGGCTCCCCCCCCCATTTACCCTGCCATCCTCACCCCCCTGGGGTCCCACCCCTCACTCCATCTGGCCTGTTAGCCCCAGCCACCTGTCCTGGACCATCCACTGCTTCTGGTCATGTCCCTTTACCCAGCACTCCTGCACAGGTGGTGTCAGCCAGCTTTCCTGTGGCCGAGATGCCATACCTGACACAGTTCACTGGACAAGAGGTTCATCGGGCTCACAGTTTCAGGGCTCGGTCCATGGTCAGTGGCTCAAGGTGTGGTAGAGGAAAGATGGTTAAGTGTATGGCAGTCTGGAAGCAGAGAGGGAACCAGCATGAGAGATGGAGGTCCAGGAACAATATACAGCACCCAAGGTCATGCTCCATGTCCCCCCAGGACACAACCAGGAGCAGTGTATCTAAGACAAGGTCTTGCTATGTAGTTCAGGGTGCCCTGGAATTCACTGCAGGTAGCCCAAGGTGGCCTTGAACTCCTGGTGATACTCGTGGATCTGTGGCTGGATCCACAGCACCACGCCAACTTCTGCTAGGTGTTTCTTAATCCAATCAAGTTGACATACTAGGATTAGGGGTCACGAGAGACCCCCAAATTACATCCAGCCCCATTTGCCATCTTGAGTCCCCTTTATTTTCCTTTTCTTTTTTCAGTACTGGGAATTAAACTCAAGGCCTTCACACTGAGCTCCATCCTCAGCCCTTTTTATTTTGCAAGAGGGTCTTGCTGAATTGCTAAGTTGCCCAAGCTGGATTTGAACTTGTGATCCTCCTGCCTCAGCCTCCCAGAGTGCTGGGGTGATTGCCATGCGCCACCCTCTCCCCCCGAGTGCATTTGGAATTACTACTTTCTCATACCTTTCCTCTGGGGCCCTCGGCTGTGGACCAGGAAGTGTGGAGATGACTGACAGTCCTGCCCTCTCCAGCTTCCAGCCTTGGATCACAGTCCTGTGCCCCTGGCAGTGTCAACTGGAACTTGGATCCAAAACCCGAGGCCAGCTGGTGTGCTTTGGGAAGAGCCGCACTCCTTCACAGCTCCTAGCATCCTTCCTAGGCACCTGTGGCGGCTGTTCTCCCTTCTGACCTCTTGGGGGCTCCACCTCCCTCCAAACTGTGGGTGGGATAAAACTGCCAACAAACCAGGTTTTGAGTCCTGAAATCGTTTTGTAGGTGAATAATATATAATTATTCACTTACATAGAAATTTACCTTTTTTTTTGGTACTGGCAATTGAACTCAGGACACTGTACTTGCCCGGCAAACACTTGTGCTGCTGAGCTATATCCCCACCCCAAATTTACCTTTTTGTTCTTTTGAGATAGGATCCAGGCTGCCCTTGGACTCACTATGTAGCCCAGGCTGGCCTCAGATGTGTGGTGATCCTCCTGCCTCTGCCTCCCACATCCTGCAGTTACAGGCCTGTGCCACCAAACCTGGCTTTTGATTTTTTTTTACTTTTTTGGTCCAAAATTACCCTTCTAAAGTAGACAAGTTGGTGGTCAGTGGCTTTTCTTTTTTTTTTTTTTCCTTCAGAACCCAAGGTTGTCTCATGCTGGGCGAGCGACCACGGAGCTACACCCCTAGTCCCTTCCTTGTCTCGTTTTCTCTCCTCCCCTCCCCTTTCCTGTTGCTCCCCCCACCTTTTTCCCTTTTTCTCCCTTCCTCTTCAGGACTGAGACTGAACCCCAGTGTAGCTCCTCTCTGAGCTACACTCCCAGCCCTTTACTAAGTTGACAAGGCTGGGCTCATTTGGGATCATCCTGCCTCAGCCTCCCCAGCCCTGCTGAGATTGCAGGTGTGCACCTTTGTGCCTGGCCAAGTCCGTGGTTTTCAGTATACTCAAGACCTGTGCAACCATCACTACTATCAGGGCAGGGGTGTGGCTCAGCAGTGAGCGCTTGGCTAGCATGGACAGCCCTGGGTTCACCCCAGCACTGCAATAAAACAAAAACATTAAAGATCACCCTATCAATTTTAGACTGTTTTTATCCCCTCCTCAGCCCTGCACCTCCGAGCCCACTTCCTGTCTCTTGAGTTTGCCTGTCCTGGGTGTTTCCTGTCCTCAGAGCCCATACTGTGCATCCTGTCTGGTGTCTCAATGAGCACAGCGTCAAGATCCATCCATACTGTGGCAAGTGTTAGAGCCATGCTCCTTTTCCTGACTAATATTCCAGTGCATGGATGGACTTTTTTTTTTTTTGAAGTGGGGGTTTTGCTAAATCACTAAATTGCCCAGGTTAATTTTGAACTTGGAATCCTCCTGCCTCAGCCTCCCTGGTAGCTGAAATTACAGGCATATGCCACTGTGCCTGGCTGGAGCCTCTTGAATCCTGACCATGTTATCCAGGGTCTTCTGGGGTGAACTACCACCTCCTCCACTCAAAGCCTAAGGGTCCCTGCTTAAATGACACTGTCCAGCAGAACTTTGCAGCTGCACCCCATGTTCATGGTAAATTCTGGGACAGAGGATCTAGACAAGCAGGCATCTCCTGGAGGGGGCTGGTTGGGGTTGGAGCTCCAAGTAGAGCAGGGCCCAGGGGCAGGGGGCACTGGAAGCCCCAGGGTCTGAGTGGTAGAGTACACTCCAGTGTCACCAACTGTCTCAGCCCCCACGGTGAGAGTTGGGTACAGGGAGCCAGGGAAGATTAGGATGTGGTCACTGCCCTTGGGGCACAGGGCCCTGTGAGCCATAAAGCTCTGGCTGCAGTGGGCAGTGTCAGCTGGGCAGGGCTGAGGTGTGACAGCCCCGGGGGGTCGAGGGGATGCTGCACTGCACCACAGCCGTCACAGGCAGGGGGCCCAGCTGGTGTGCCGGCCACAGATACCTTCTGAGGCCAGAGTGACTGCCTGGGCCTCTCAGTGGAAGGGGTGGGCAGGGTCAGGAGAGGGGTCCAAACCATCAGCCCGCCCTCAGCCTGGGGTTGGGACAGGAGCCATAAGCCAGGCAGGTGGGAGGGACAGGAGGGTGGCATCCAGCCTGGCCCCTGGGTCACTCCCCTGGGCTGGGCAGTGGGGGTCAGGGTGAGTGTGGGAGGCCAGCAGGGGGTGCTCCAGGCAGCAACTCCCTCTCATTTCTCCAGGCCCACAGGTGGTGGGCGGAGCCTCAGCGCTGCCCTCCTTACCCTCCACCAGTAGTGACCTGGGACCCTGGGGCCACAGCCTGGATACCTGGCTAACTCTAATGTCACTGCTGCTCTTGAGTGTTCACAGCAGGCTCTCCACACCTCCACTCACTCTGAGGCAGGGTCTTGATCCATATTCTGGGCTGGCCTAGAACTCACTGTGTAGCCCAGGGTGGCCTTGAACTCATGGCACTGCTCCTGCCTCAGCGTGCACCACCAGACTGGACTCAAATCCCTTGCATCAGGCACTGGAGTCCACAGCCTGGGGCTGGGTGACCTGGCCAGTGGCCTGGCAGAGGCTTCACCCACAGGCTTGGGTCCAGGCCTTGTTCCTGAGCTGGACACTTGGCTGCCACCTCCTCAGGCCTGTCTAGTCTTCAGGCCTCAGGGCCACAGCAAGGGCTCCCCGAGCTATCCCACAAGGGCCCAGTCCCGCATTCTGGCACGCAGCCCTCCAGGGGCCAGCTGACACCCCAGCACGGGGGTACTGCAAAGGTGAGTCCCGACCAAGAAGGGCTCCTCCCTCAGGGCCAGGATAGGCCTGAGGTCTGCTGCCAGTGATGGCGACGCCTGAGCACCAGGGGCCAGCGTCCACTTGGCGCAGGTGGCCCCAGGCACATAGGCTGCCCTCACCATAAGGCACAGGATGAGGGGCAGGCAAGGACAGTGCCTCCACCCTGGGCCCGGCAGCACATCAGAGGCTCCAGAAATGTCCTGCGGCCACAGCCTGTCCCTGTGGCTCAGGGCACTCTGACTAGCTTCTCCCTGAGCCGAGCAACTTCATCCCCACTGTGTGGAAGGGGAACTGAGGCTCAACCTTGGGGAGCAAGGCTGCAGGCAGCATGGCTTCAAAAAGAAACCGAGGCATTGCGCACACTGACGGTCAGTCACGCCAAGGCTGGCCACATTTCATGTCATCCATTTATTGAAAGAAATCAGCCTCCTGGGGCCACTGCCCAGGTGCCCTTCTGAGGGTCACCAACTCTGCCCACTGGAGGGCTGCAGGCTCGTGGCCATGGTGTCCCAAAGGGCAGGCCTGCTGGCTCAGGACCATGTTCCTCACCGCAGGGCTGGGGTTGGACTGTTTCCACAATGTTCTCCAACTCATGGAAACACGGAGCTGCAGGCCTCGCGGTGCAGGGTAACGGGCGAGCCCGCTGGCGCTGTCCCGCCTCACAGCCAAGGAGCAGCAGCGCTGAGTCCCATGTGGAGAGGCCTCTTGCCCCACGGGCTGAGTTGGCCACGCTCCATGCCCAGGTCCATGGGTCGGAGACTTCTGCCACACCCGAGCCCGAGGAGGGGCACCTAGAAGGGCAAGCTCCAGCTGAGTCCTCCCGGCTGGGCCAGGCACAGCAGGCAGAGCGGGGGGCAGGTGCCCGGAGCAGGGCTCTGGGCAGGATACCTGCAAAGGAGCGGAGGAGGGGACACCATGAGGACCTCGGCAGGGTATGGGGCATGGGCTCTGGGGAGACAAAGTCTGGGTGAGCCACTGCCAGCAGCGGAGCCCAGCTGCCCTCACGCCACCCACCCGGCACCTGCTCTAGACGCGCTCCAGGTCTGGGTCTGGCTCGGGCTCCTCCTCCTCGTCTTCGTCGTCATCTTCATCATCCTCATCCCCACAGGCCTTGTCCAGCGGTGCCTCGTCGCGGGCCAGCTCCTCCACGTGGGCCAGCATGTCAGCCATCAGCGCCTCCTCCAGCCGCTTCCGTACCTGCTGGACCAGCTCCTCTTGCTTCCTGGGGACACAGGGGCGTCCTGGGGACACAGGCGCTGGCCCTGCCCACACACACTTGCACCTGGCCCTCGGCATCAGCCGCGTCTCCTGGGGCTGGGGGAGCCACCGTCTCCCTCTCCAGGTGTGCGCCAAGCAGGCGGCGGCACCAGAGCCGCCCGGTCACAAGCTCGGTCCAGCTTCAGGGCGGAGAGGCTGAGCTCTCTGCGCAGCAAGCCAGGGCTCCGCATCAGCTCCACACTGGGCTGCCGTGGCCAGTTCCAGTCGCGTCTTTCCCAAGCGCTTCAGCAAAGGGCCACTCCTGGCCACTGCACGAACCCGCAGCTCCGAATCCCCTCCTGTGGGTACGTGGCCTGCACGCCGCACTCCAGTCCAAACCTAGGGCCCTGGGACTGTCCCAGGTCACCTGTCCCCACTTGACACCTCCTTGAGCCGATGACCTGATACCCAGCGGCCAGCACTGTCCAGCATGTGCCTTACAAGCGGGGGGACTGGGCCTGGCCTGCACGTGTGTGACCGCTGTTTCAGTGTCAGCAGACACTCGCGCGTCATGGGAAAGGGAAGAGGCACAGCAAGAGGGAAGTGAGCAGGGCTGGGGGCTACCTGATGTCCTCGTCGGTCACCATGAAGGCCTTGCACAGGGGCTGCGTGGTGTTCAGCCACACGCCAGGGTTCTTCTCCACAGCGGCTGAGAGCTGTCCTGTGATGGGCATGGTGCTGGTATGCAGGGCGCTGGCGATGGCGGACAGCAAGGTCTCATCGGTGCAGCCGGGACCCACGCCTGCAGGGCACGGAGCCACAGTCCAGGGCGGCGGGGTCACAGGGGCGCATCGACCATAGCGCTCAGCACCCAGGGGGACCAGTGGGGCATTTGGTCTTGGGCTCTCCATTTGGTCTTGGGCTTGGCCCCAAATTTCATCACCTGTCCTAACCTACACAGCAGAGAAGTCGGGAGCTGGAGCTCCTTGGGTGCTGCAGGCATTTCAGCGTGGCAGCAAAACCAAACTCCCCAGCAGGCGGTTGGCTCGGGTTTGCTCGAGCTGGGGATGGGCAGCCAAGAGAGTGCCACCAAGAGCCACACCCCCACCCCGGCAGGCCTTTTTCCACACCCTAAGGTCGCCAGTCCCCAGCCCCTCCCTACGCCTTGGGCTGCCAGCGCCAAGGTCACGTACGCACAAGGAGACTCCACCCATAAGTGTCCAGGTCCGGACACCCCAGGCAGAGGCCCTCCTGCCCTCCCCTGTCCACAGGCAGGAATATTCACCCTGCAGCCCCTTGGGCAGGTCCATGGTCCTGACCAGCTCCTCCGCAATGTCGAAGGCGCTCAGCCCGCTTAGCTTCTTCTCCCAGAAGAGCTGCAAACAGACGGGTGGCAGGGTCGGCGGGGCTGCTCCTCCCCACCTCCCGTCTCACTGTGTGGAGGCAGTGAGAGCCCAGCCACCTCCCCCAACACCCAGATACCCAGTAGGTGTCCATAAACACGCAAATCACAAGGCTTTGAAAAGGAGAATGAGGGGCTGGGAATTTAGCTCAGCGGCAAAGCGCCTGCGTGGCAAGTGCAAGGTCGTGAGTTCGGTTCCCGGTACCGGAGAAAAACCAAAAAAAAAACAAAACAAAAAAAAAGAAAAGGAGAATGATACACCCTTACATATTGTACTTTTTTTGGCAGAGCTGGGAGTGTAACCTAGGGTCTTCTGCACACAGAGCAAGCGAGCTGTGCCCCCAGCCCATTTCACTTTTTTTTTTTTTTTCCTGATTTTTGAGACAGGGTCTCACTATGTAGTCCAGGTTGGTGGTGATCCTTCTGCCTCTGCCTCCCGAGTGTATAATCTTATTTAAACTATCTGTCCACAAACCCCACCATCTACTGGAGGTGGGTCAGAAGGCGTGGGGGCTGGGGGTTGGGGTTCCACCTTGGCGTCTGAGGACTTTCCCACAGTGAACGTCAGGCCGCGCAAGGAAGCCCCCCCCCCTACTTAAATCGGGGACAATCAGCTACCTGGGGTGGCTGAGCCAGGCACCGACTCGAGGCCCGGGCGCTCACCTGCCGTGGCTGGTCCACCGCCTTCTGCGGGTCGCTCTTGACCTTATTGCTCGGGTGGTTGGTGATCTTGGTGACCGGCTGCTTGAAGATGGACGCCGTCTGCCGCACAGGGAGCGCCGTGTTGAGGTCAGGCTTGCCCTGTGGGGAAAAGGCGCTGCGGCCGGCCCGGGTGGCGGGGGTCCCCAGGGGCAGACTGGGGTTGGGCCTGGGGCAGGGGGTGGCGGAGGGCCTAGGCCCAGGGCAGGAGGCAGAGAAGGGCAAAGGCCCGGGCGGGAACAGCAGCGGCTCCGGGAGGCTCGGGGACCGCGTGCGCGCCATGGCCGGTCTACGGGACTGCTGGGGTGGGACCAGCCCGGACCCCCACACACCTGGGCGCGGCCCCGCCCCCTGACGTCACCCGCCCGCTCACCTTGACCTGGTTGGAGGAGTCGTAGCGCACGCGCTGGCGGCTCTTGTTCATCTTGCTCATCAGCATCTTGCCCGTGCGGAAGTCGAAGGTGCTCAGGTCCATGGAGCCGCCCAGGTAGCGCGCCAGCTGGGGCTTGCTGCGGAACTTCTTCCCGCTGGGGCTGCGGGCGCAGACGGGTCGGCGCGGGGCTCCGCCAGGAGGTGCCGCCCCTCCGATTCCGCCCCCCGGCCCCCGCCCCAAAGCCTCAAGGACCCACGTTGAGAAGGGGCCGGCAGGTCGGTGGGCCAGCCAGGAAGGCCGCCTGCCCTCCCCAGGGGACTAGGGCTGCTGTGCCGCTACCTGAAGCCTCACCACGGTGACCAGCGCGGCGTCCGGACGGCCAACAGGTGCAGAGTAAACCAGCGCCAGTGTGGCAAGCAGCAGCGCCCACACCAAAGCGCCCAAGCGGTGCCCACTGCGGCCCGCAATTCCGCTGCCAGGCATTGGCCTCGGGCGCGAGTGCTCGGAGCAGAGAGGCCCCGCGCCCAAAGTGAGGTCATCTCCACGCTGGGACATCACTCGGCCAGAAAAGCTGCGCGGCTGTGACATTCGCCACAGCACACACAGCGGGGGCCCCACGGACAGGAAACCCCCAGGACAGGCGAATTCGGGGGCAGGAAGTGGATTCGAGTGTGAGGGGCTGGGGAGGGACGGGGCTTCCCTGGGGCGGGAAGTGTTCCGGTCTCAGAGGGCCGCGAGGCCGCACAGTACTGGGAATATGCTGAAACCCACCCGTTCAAATGGGTGAAACCACGGGGTGTGACTGTCTCAGTGATGTCACTAGAGGGAGCTGAGCCGGGACTTAGGAGCCCAGGTGCCCAAAGGACCTTACTCTGAGGCATAGTGCAGCCCAAGGTTAGTGCGTGGCTGAAGGTTCCCTCCTGTGGGGCACACTCCTGTCTCTGCCCCTGCCCGAGACACCCTGGCTGTGGCAGGCAGAGCACAGGGCAGAGAACAATGGCTGGGAATCCCTTCTCGCCAGAAGATGGCATTCTGTGAGGACGGGCAGCATCCTGGCCGGGGACTGGTGCAAGTTCTAGGAAACTATTTGGGGCTGACCTGGGCAAACGGCTTAGCGCATGAGGCTTGGTGGGACTCGGACATGCGTGCTACAACGGGACACCCTAGTGAGGGGCCTAGAGCACCCACAACTGTCTGGGGTGCTTTTATTGGGGTGTGTGGTGCTGGGGATTGAGCCCAGGGTCCTGCATGTGCTAAGCAAATACTCTACAGCCCCAGCCCTTTTTATTTTGAGACAAAGTCTCATTAATTTGCCTAGGCTGGGCCTGAACCTCAGCCTCCCAAGTACCGTACAACCATGGTCTGTGAGCTAATTCTTTCTGGAAGAATGCTTGTAATTCAAAAATACTTGTATATCAAAACAAGTTAACCCACAAGAAATAATGAAAACTCAGATGATTTGTTCCACAACCCAAAAATATTCATATAAAAATTATTACAGTAGTGTAATACAAAATAATAAAGAAAACACAGAATATAAAAAAAAATTAACCTGCACTTACTATGAAAACCTTTGTGGCTGGTGTGGGGACACAAGAGAGAGGGTTACTTTGCAGGGTGACTCACTATCACTAGGGAATCGCTGCTGTCCACTGGCTCAGTGGAACCCTTTTCATACAGCTTTAACAAGGAGCCGATTCAGCGACGCTTGCTTTTGCCTCCTCTTGAGGATTTTGTGGAAATGTGATTTGTTTCTTTCTTTTTGAGACAGGGTCTCAATATGAAGTTCAGGCTGGCCTTGAGCTCGTTTTGTAGCCCAGGCTGGTTGCAAACTCAGCAGCGATCCTCCTGCCTCAGCCTCACAAGTGCCGGGACACTGCTACAGCGTTACTCAGGTATTTCTTTTCTACAAGATTTTCCAGTTTCCCACATTTTCCAAATCTCCCTCATCTTATTTGTTTGGTTTGAGACAGGGTCTCACCACGTAGTTCAGTCTGGCCTTGAACTCACTTTGTAGCCCAGGCTTGCTTTCAACTTGCAGCAATCTACCTGCCTCAGTGTTGGGGTTATCCCTCTACCAGCTCTTGCTCTTGAATATTACCCTCATTCATCTCCTGTGGTCTTTTCCAAGGACACAATTTCACAGACAACTGGTGGCCCCTGTTCGTGAGCAAGACCCTCTATGTCACGTCCAAGAACGCAATCAGTCCAGTTTTCCCCAAGCAGAACTGAGGGTTCTCTTGGTGACCCTATGCCAAGCTTCACTGATGATCTTGAGGCAGCTCATGATGTGGTACTGTTTTTCCCAAAACCCTCAGGGGAGAAGGTTTATTCCTTTGGTCTCTTCACAGCACTGCTGAATACTGCTTTGGTGTGAAGCGTTATAAAGTTCGAATGACCTGCTGACCCATGGGCTGGAGGACTGGGATGGTGTGGTGAAGGAGGAACTTGACCTTACTGAACCCGACTTCCTCCAGTAAGTCGTCCTCAAACCCTGGAGGATGAGCAGGAGCATTATCCATAACCAGCAAGGCTCTCAGTGGCAGGCTCTTTTCTAAGAGGTTTACTTCACTGCAGGACTGAAGACCTCGCTGATCCACTCAAAGAACATGATACGAGCAACCTAAGCCTTGCTGTTGACCTCCACATAACAACTGGCTCTTCTGCACCTTGCATTCTTTTTTTTTTTTTTTTTTTTTTGTGCCAGGAATCAAACTCATGACCTCAGGCTTGCGAGGCAAGCACTTATGCCACTGAGCTACATTCCTGGCCCCTGGCACCTTGCATTCTTGAAGGCTGGTGGACTCTTGCAAAGATACATGGCCATGGGCTTGACTTTGAAATCCCTCCTTGCATTAACACCAAACAAGAGAGTGAGACAGTCTTTCGTGGGTTGTGGTCAGACACTGCATTCTTTTCTTCTGTATTATAGGTCCTCTTGGGCATCTTTTTCCAAAAAATCCATCCCATTGCAGTTAAAAACTTGCTCTGGGGGTTGGGCATGGTGGCACACGCCTATAATCCCAACACTTGGGAGGCTGAGGCAGGAGGATCGTTCTGAGTTCGAGACCAGCCTGAACTGCGAGACCCTGTCTCAAAAAGACCAAAAAAAAAAAAAAAAAAAAAACTTGCTCCAGGAGGTAATACTCAGAAACCAGGACCTTCTGGAACTCAGCAGCAAATGCCTTAGCTGCCTCTGCATCTGAATTCACAGCCTCCTGGTGCCTCACAATGCTATGGAAGCCACTTCTTCTCTTAACATTATGAAACCAAACCCTGCTGCCCTGAGCCCTTCTTTGTTTTCTTTTGTACCTGGCAATCTACTCACAATGCCTTTTCCTTCTCACAGATACAAGTCTGGTCAGTGTCACCTGTTACTTGCTTCTTGTTTATTCAAACTAAGGGCGCCGTCTCCACATCTCCAGAGCACACGGTCGCTGCTCTGATAGTCTTATGACTCTTTTTGTGCAACGCGCCCTCTTATTTCTTTCTTAATATTGTGCAAATGGTCAACACAGACGACTCAGCTTGTAACTTGGGTCCTCGCAAACCTTGTTCATGCTTTTTCACGATTTCCTTAACTCCGCTGGGACCGCCATCTTCTTACTGCCTTTCAACCTTTTTGCACATAGGCCACTGTATACACTCACATGGACGCTGACTATAGTATGTTATTAATAAACTAGTCATATACTGTATTTAATGTAACTGGCCATGGCAGCAAAAGAGCTGTATCTGCAGGCAGCCTGACCTAAAGTGAAGCAAAGAATTCCTAAGCTTACTCTATTAAAAAAAATTTATTTTTGAGACAGGGTCTGGCTGTGTACTTCAGGCTGGCCTTGAACTCACAGCAATCTTCCTGCTTTAGCCTCCTCTGTACTGGGATTACATGTGTGTGCCACCACACCTGGCTCCTAAACTCCTTCTTGTACGAAAAAAAGAAAGGACTGTTCACGGGTGCTTTGAAGTAATAAAAAATACACTTGTGCTAGTTGTGGGCACCTTCCAACATTCTCAAAAAATCAGATTTCTGCCAAACACTGCGGCCTGAGACTGAGCACCCGAGCACAGCCCTGCAGCTTGTGTGCGTGCAAAGCGGGGGAGGGAGCGAGAACCAGTGGCTTGCTTGTGATCATGTGACCCTCAGTGTCAGGTACTACTTGTATTGCAAAACGTGAGTCGTTTATCAAGTTAAAATTTGTTAGAATGTTTGCTCATCTTGGGAAACACTCACAAAACAAGCTACTCCACAACTCAAGTTTGTACTGTACCTAGGATCACAGGCGTGCACCACCACACCGGCTCACTAGGATTCTGAAGGCAGTGGGAACTCTGGAAGAGTCACCTTGCCTACACTAGGTTGATGTTAGAACAGCCCGTTAGCCAGGCATAATGATGCACACCGGTAATCCCAGCACTCTGAAAGGCTGAGGCAGATGGATTTCTAGCTCCAGCATAGCTTGGGCA